ATTAATGACAGCACTAGTATTTAGATATACAGGTGAAACTCGAAAAACTAGAATATCGTGTATAAATAATTATAAAGTTATAATATAATTTTGATGATTTGCGGCTTATGAAAACCCCAAATTCAAAATCTCAGAAAATTAGAATATTACATAAAATCAATTTAAAAAAAAGGATTTTAAATACAGAAATGTCGGCCCTCTGAAAAGTATAATCATGCACATGTATAGTTATATATATATATTAGTTTCACCTTTTAATTTGAATTACTGAAATAGCCTACATGAATTGTTGCACGATATTCTCATTTTTCGAGTTTCACCTGTAGATCTGTGACACCTGTGGTCAGGAGAAGTAAAGCTTATCCTAATATTTATATATGTTTTTAAGATACAACCTCTGAATCTCTATTGTTCTCAAGGCTACGGCTCGACCATCTTCTCCTCATATTGATTAGCAATGCTTATAATATAGACAAACAACTGCACTAACCAGTTGTGAAATGAAAAAGCCACTAAAAACCACAACTTGTGCTTTTATTTGAACAAATATCTCTTAAGAATGAAGGGTTTTTGAGTGAAACACGTAGGTCTGACTCATGTTTTAGGGCTGTGGGGTTTAAAGATGCATTGGCTCCCTCAGTGTTGTTGACAGCCACTCGATCATGAGACGCAGCCCGTCTGCTTCAGTACATCATATATTGATATTTCTCTTAATGTACTTCATGTCCCTTCTCTTCTATCCTTCAGACAAATAAAACTGTTGACTCTTATTTGAGGTCCAATCCTTCACATCTCGAGACAAGCAGCGAGCAGAGACATCAGCACAGAGAAATCACATGTATTTAAACGTGTTCGTGTGTATATTAAATAGCATGAAGAGCTTGTTCTTCCAGCATTACATGATATGATATAAACACAGACTCCCTGCAGCCGATTGAAGAAGAAATCCCTTTGATCACTTATAAATATGTCTAATATGCTGCTGTTTTCCCCTTCGCCTGCTGAGCCAACATGTTCCCAAACCATGAGTGTGTGCTCCTTAAGATGTGTCATGTAGGAATTAAACATTGTAGAAATTGGCGGCTCCTGGTAATTGACCCTGTGATGAGTGTTTAATAAGCAGAAAAACACTGCGTCTGATGCCTGCTGATATTATTATCAGTTATGAGTGTAAACTGGCTATCTTTTGCCGGATGTGTGTGAGAACAGCTGAAGTTGTGTTTGCTGAAGTTGAGTTATCTATTTTTTTATTTTTGCTTTGTTTTTATAGACTCTAAAGAATGCTGGGTTAAAAAAAAATCGGGTCGTTTTAACAATTATGTCAAAATGAGGTCGTTTTGGTTTGTTTTGACCCAGCTGCGTTGGATTATGCTTTTTTATTTTTGAACTGTTTAAAAAATGACTGTACTGCTGGGTTATAATTTTCTAAATGAACCCGAAATGGGTTGTACATTAAAATCCCTTTAACACGTGGTACAACACAAGCAACCATAATCAAAACGGTGAAATTTACTAATAAGCAAGAACACCTAAAAATGTAGAAAAATAGGTTATAGGCTAAAGTCACGGAGAAACACACACACTGAAACCCGGTAATAAACAGAATAAACCGTGTAAACCATTAAACCATTCCTGCTTTTTCAGTCCTGTTCAGCAGTCATTCACATCTCACTTTAGTTTCTGCTGTTTTCCACACATATTCCTGACCTGAGCGCCAAAACATTCGCAAACAAACCCCACATTTATACGTCTTTCATTGAATGTCTCAGTCAGATGTTTTTTACATGTTATACTACTTGTTTCAGAAAGTAGTAAGAAAGTGTTTTTTCTTTAAATGGACCAATTTTCCTTAAAGAAATAATAATCTAAAACTCATACATTGTTGGCCATTGAAAATCAAACAGTGGCAATGTCATTGAATTATTTGCACACTGAATGGCTACTGATCTTTTTTGTTATTGCTATTCTCTTTTGTAAATGACGATCATGAAACACCAATGATGACCCTTAACTTTTCTAAAGGATTACATTCTGATACATCAGGATCTCTGAGCTGAGAGAGTGAGTGGAGGCGGGGCTCATTTGCATATTCATAGAACCGAGTATACTAAATGAGGCAAAGGTGTCGAGTTACATTCAAGATATTTTTATGTTGGAAGTTTTTTTTTGTTTTTTTAAATATGTAATTTTGGTGATCAAAGATGAGTTTTAAGGGATACAATTATGTATTCAGTGAGTGGCACTAAAAACACGTTCAGTTTTATCTGAAACAGACGAGCGTTGTATCATGTTGGTTGTATGTATCGCACCAGTTTGGAATTGAAATGTCCGGTGAGTGAGTGTTGCTATAAGGTTCATTCGTGTTTGAAAATAACGTAACACCTACACTAAACCCTAAACACACCCGACAGTGTTAACAAAAGCAAACGGGAGATTAAAAAATCCATTTGCTGATGCAACCGTGCCATTCCAGCTTGGTTTCTCATGTGCCGACTGGTGTCGCCCAGACCCGAGCGCTTCACACCACGAGTGCACCGCTGTACCAGCTGAGCCACTGAGCAGGTTTACTTCATCACACACACACACACACACACACACACACACATGGAGCTGCTTACGGGATGCAGATGTCATGGGCTATGGGTATTGTGCAAGGAACCGCACAGAAATAACTCTTTATTAATCGATAATATGCCCCTGTAATCATAATTAGTGTGAGAAGCGATCCAAGTGTTTGTTGTTTAACTGCCTGTAGTGTCAGTTCGACTGGAAACTGCAGTGATTTGTATGTATTATGGCAACGGCATCTCACATAGTCTGACGGCAGGTAAATTAAACAATAAATAAATGACTTTCGAGTTATTCATTACAAAAGTGTGCATTAAATATGCTAAACATGGACGCTTGAACATGCGCTTGACACACATTTGAGCTTCTTCTTTTCCTTTCAATGGCGGTGGGCAAACCGACTTGAATCTGCACACCGCCACCTAGTGCACGACCCCGGCACGACAGCTGCTGTCCAATAAAGGATCGAGCCGAGGATAACTGAGGGCCAGGCTTAGACAGATCAGTTAAAACAGGCCGATACCTATCCTTCAGAATAAATAAATACGAATACAATGGTAACACTTTACTTGAAGGTGTGTGCATAAGACTGACATGACACATGCATGTTTATGACAACTGTCATTAAATGTCATTCGCTCAATTATGACATTTTTATTGCAAATATGACATTGTTTGAGATGTCTTTGTTATGACACCTTGACATTACTAAGACAACACAACCTGTCATAAATATGTCATAAACATGACATAGCAGATTAATCATCAAACTTAAGAAAGCACTTAGCTTTATGGGTTAACATTACATTAAACTGTCAGGTGGTTGGTTTTGACATTGGCTGTCATGAGGCATTATAACTGTTTAATGACAAATTCAATGTGTACCACTGTAGTTGAGGTCAAGAAAAATATTCATGACACAGTTATAATGGACTCATGACAGCCAATGTCAACACCAACCACATGACAGTTTAATGTAATGTTAACCCATAAAGCTAAGTGCTTTCTTAAGTTTGATGATTAATCTGCTATGTCATGTTTATGACATATTTATGACAGGTTGTGTTGTCTTAGTAATGTCAAGTTGTCATAACAAAGACACTGACAGGTTATGATGTATTGGTTTATGTCAAGGTGTCATAACAAAGACATCTCAAACAATGTCATATTTGCATTAAAAAATGTCATAATTGAGCGAATGACACTTAATGAGAGTTGTCATAAACATGCATAAAACCTCCATGTGTCATGTCATGATTATGAAGGTGTCATGTCAGTCTTATGCACACCCCTTCAAGTAAAGTGTTACCGATACAATTCCTGAACACAATCTCATACTGTGTCGCACTGAAACAAGCACACCATACAATTCATCATGCCGTTTCATTAAGACTTTAATTTTTACGTTATGGGTTTGTTCAAATCTATAAAAGTAAGTAAAATAGTAATTTTCTTAGCAATTACAACAATAATTGAGGGGCAACTCTGTTCCGAAGTAAGAAAGATGCTGTGTTAATGTGTCGATGTGGCTAAAGACCTTCGAAGTTTAAAACAGCCGTTATCCATTTCTCCTATTCCTTTAGTTTCTTTGAAAAAAGAAACATGAATGATGCTCTATGTTTGCTATGCACATCATGAGTCTCTCTATTCATTATCCATCAGCTGTTCTGGGAACTGTGAGGAAGTGACCTTTCCTGAAACTGAGCTCTAAAGTCCCTGAACTCACGCTTTTCTCTGAGGTTCATCATCTGGGTGGACTGTTGGAAATAAATTGCTCCTTGGTTGCTTCAATTTACTTTTTTTTTTTTTCAGGCAAGGAATCGTCGTTTTGTCTGACAGACCCAACACAGTGCACTACTGCACTTAGCTTTTTAATAGCTATATAAATAAACAGCGGCGTTTGACTGTCAATAATTTTTTTTTAAATAACATAAACACTAACTAAGGTCTAATTCTCACTATTAACTATGACTTTTCCCCCAATAAACCCTTACTGCTTATTAATAGTAAGGTAGTTTAGCAATGGGATTAAGGGATGTAGAATATGATCATGCAGTTATGAATGTGTAGTTAGAGAAATTGGTCACACTTTAGGTCCAAATCTCACAATTAACGACGACTTTTCCCTCAATAAACTCCTAATTACTATTAATAGTAAGGCATAGCTATGGGAATAAGGCATTAATATGTGCTTCATAAGTACTAATAAACAGCCAATATGCATGCTAATAAGCAACTAGTTAATAGTGAGAATTGGACCCTGAACTAAAGAGTTGCCAAGACACCTAGAGCAGGACTAGATGCATTCTTAACCTCATCACTGCCATTGTGTCTGTCAATGCGTCCAGTGCCATAAAACTGAGCCGCTCACGCTAGCCTGTCCGACACAAAGAGAACCGCAGCGACAGGGCCACAACACCGAGCACTCCTACCTCTGGGTCTGGAATCTGTGCCGCGGCGCTGAAGACGTGGTGTGAGATCAACACCGCCGCTACGCTCATCAGCAGCGGCACGAGGGTTAGCGGCGGATGATGCCCAGGCCCCTCGATCGCCATCTTCCCTCTTCTTCTCCCGCGCCTCATCCCTCCCCCGGCTGCTTCTGCCCCGACAACTGCGCTCCACCACAATAGTGCAGGTGATTGATAGTGGATCGGTGGGAAACGTCCAGCGCCTCCCCTGCATTAACACCGCTCTGGTGTCTTCAGTCGCACAGACACACTGCGCTCTCCAGCCTCTCGGCTAAAGGCCATTCATTAATTAATAGCCCCGGTGTGGTTTACAGCCTCGCCGTCCCGGGCACAGAGAGGTTACGAGAGTTGTGGGGGGAAGGGAGTTACACAGAAGCACACAAAGGGATCTGAGGAATTGTGTGACACGCTGTATTTTGATCTGCCTGGCCAGAGGATCGGCAACAGGTTCCCCAATAATCATGTGAACAAACTGTTGTTCAGCTGTCCGCTGAGAGAAGGAGAATTCACTGATAGCAAAAGCCTGACAGTGTTTGCTTTTTCCAAAATAGTCATCATTGGAAAAATCAAGCGGCAACCTTCCGGTCTCTCTCTTGAAACCAAGACGGAAGATGCAATTCATGGACTGGATGCAAAAGAGAGGCAATCCCATAGACCCCCATGTTAAATGCCCAACTTCACAGCAGAAAAAACATGTTTACAGTCTGGTGCAAAAAGTGGTTTTGGTCTATATAGCTAATTTTGTCGTTCACGACAACTGTGAGGGGGGTGATTTTTTTTTATAACTCATGTGTTTAAATAATATTAAGCCTTAAAGTTGTGCATAATTAAGGGCGTGGCCACTTGAGTGACAGGTGGATTGCCGCTGATGTCACTGCTAGCCGTTTGTCTGCTAGCGTTGGCGTCACGTCACCTCAGCTAATCCGCCTCGCTGCACATTTACGGTTATCCGGGAGTGACGCGCGGCCAAGATGGCGACGGCCGGCTCCGCCCACTTTGGGCTTCAAAAGCGCCCTTCAGAAACGGGTGACGTCACGGACACTACGTCCATATTTTCTTACAGTTATGGGGCAAAACGTGCCTTTTGCAAAACTTCACTGCAGTTTTCAGCTGAATTTAATTATAGTGGCAGTACAACACCAAGTTTTAACTTTAATTTCTTTTGACAGCAGCATATTGTTGATTTATTAAGATGTATTTTTGCACGATTCCTTAAACAGTTATATATTATGACCTCAAAACACTTCAAATCATTGTGCATGATTTGTAAACTAATACAGTTTTGACTGTTTGCATCACATAACCAGCTCCACACACTCTTATAAAAAAGTTGATGAAGTCTTTAGTGTGTAATGTTGCTGTTTAAAAGCTCCAGTTCTTCTCTATATCAGTGTCAGTGTTTCTGAACGCCTGAAACGCCTCCATTGTAGTCTTGAGTTTCTTCCGGGAACGAACACAATATTCCTCATTATAATAATTCAGACGCAGAATAAAGGGGCGGGGCCTGGTTGAGTTAGTTAGTAGTGTGTTAAACTGGCGGTTATGGAAAGGGGCGGGACATTTCCCAAACACACTCGAAGCGCTCGACCAATCACAACACACTGCTCCAGCCGACCAATCAGAGCACAGTGTGCTTTTCAGAAGGAGGGGCTTCATAGAGACAGGAACATCAAATGAGTTTCCTTTGTTTCTTTTTTTGTAAATCAACATCATCTTACAATTCCTAAAATGTAACCTATACCTATGCATTTATGTGTACATCTACACTTGCTTAACTCCAAAGTGGTTCCTGTCTGACAGCATTGATCTGTTTTAGCCAATAACATCTGCTCATATGAGCCGTACATGGGTGGAACTGAACCTGATCCTCTTTGTACACAGTGCTATGAACACATGCAGAAACAGATCAACATTAGATTGATTCATTGACAATTCCTCCAAAGTCTGAGAGTATTGTGACAGACTTGATTAATATACTGGCTTTCATTAAAAGCCTCACATGTTTATTTAATTCATAAATCATTGGATACAGCACTGAACTTGTGATATGACTCAAGACTGCTGTTTTAGTTTTCTCCACCATAAAGCTCAACTGGCTACATTACACTGTTTATTACTATACATGACTATTTACCAAATACTGTATACAATGAGATACTAATTTGAGTAGAAAGACACGGTTGTATATGCATCAACTGATCCTACTCACCATGTCATTCCAAACATGAAGATTTTCTTTCTTCCATGTAACACAAAAGATCACATTTTAAGAATCTTTTGCAGTTTTAATTCAAATATTCAGTTTTAATTCAGTTATTTTTAATTAAATGTTATGAATTAAACAGCTTGTAAAGATACTTTATCACTAGAAAATGCCATAATTTAAGGCATTTCTCCTTATATAGAAGATGTTTGTCATGAAGCATTCTGTAAAATTGAGCCAAGAAACCCAGAGATCTATATAGAAACCCCACTGAACCTCAAAGCTCTAGATTTAGAGCAACAGGGTTTCAGCTCTCTGCTGTATTGAGCTATATTAGCATAGTCATCATTGGCAGGCCGTGAGCAGATGGCTGGTGTGACTAAGAGGCGAAGAACAGTTGTCAGACGTCAGAAGCAAACAGTATACTCTATAGTGTACACAAAACACAGATTTGATACATTTTAAACTTACGAATTTCCATGTCACCACATTATAAGTTCATAACTTCAACTGCTATATTTCTTATACAGGTAGCTTAGGCTATAAGCCTCTTTCGCACTGGGTACCTCGTCTGAGAGCCCAATCACATTTGAGTGGTAAGAAAACAAGCCAATGCACATTGGCGACTGGCGAGTGAGATTTGCATCGCAAGCCGCTCCCCCACTTCCAGGTATATTAGGTAGTATGGAAATACTCACATTCAGCTTTCGCTACGTAGCCGAGCAGATGTTTGTCTTCACTCTACTTTCAATCATCGTTCAATGTGTCTAGGGAACAAGAGGGAAGCTGCTCGTGTGTTGGTGTGACGGCCGGTTCCAGCGGAGGTCGCGTTGCTGAGTGTGTGTACGGTCAAGTGCAGCGGCTGTACCCCTGGGCGCTTCAACATCGAAAAGAGCAAAATTTCCCTAAAAGAGTAAACGGTTGTTTTCTAGCACGGCCGTAAGCGTTCCCAGGTGGTGAGGTGGCGTTCCCACTGCGGGAAGATGACCATCACGATGTTGAGATCAAGACTAAGGTACCTTGAAAGAGTCCCCTCTGCTATTCAGTTAATACACAGGATGATCTGACGATTGCAGTTCCTGCCGTGTGAATCCCCGTGGCCCTCTCACTCTTTTCCATCGCAGGCTGTGGAGCTTCTGTATCTGCTCCTTCTCATGGAGGACCTAGCATCTTATTGGGGATTCCTGCAGAGGACCGGATGTTGATTACTGCATCAGAGGACAGGCTAGAGTCCTCTGGGGATGAAGATTCGGCTGCGCTTCCCCCTTCAGGGAGAGTAGCGTTGTTCTAGTCCGACCCGGAGCTGACTGAATTGTAGGGCTCGAGTGGAACCCTCCACCGTGTCCCGAACCTTCCCGGTTGGATGATTGGTACCTCGTAGTGGGGTGTGCTGAACAGCAGTGTCCCGCTCCAGTGCCATTCTTCCCGGAAGTGCACGAGGAGGTCACAAAGTCGTGGAAGGCACCTTTTCTGCCAAAACGGCACCACTGCCTTCTCTGTTCTCATTATCCTCGATGGTAGGGCGGTCAAAGGGGATGAAGAGATCCCACAGACGGAGCGTGCAGTTGTGCCTGCAAAATGCTGCCACCTGGCTGGGTCATCCATGTCTCCCATTAAAAGCCTGTAAGTTCTCGGCTGTGTTTGCAGCCAAGGCTTACAGCACCGCTGCAAGTAAACCAGGCCAAGGCGCTACGCTACTGGTCCAGGAACGGCATCTCTGGCTGAACCTGGCCGAGATAAAGGAGGTCTACAAGGTTCACTTTCTCGACTCCCCCATCTCCCAGGCCGGCCTCTTCAGTGACGCTGTCGAGAACTTTGCACAGCAGTTCTTGGCAGTACAGAAGCAGACAGAGGTGATCAAACACCCCTGCCCCGGCGGGATGCTGCTGCCAACACCAACTCCAGCTGACATGAAGGCAGAGTTTTACAAGCCATACTTCATTGTGCCCAAGAAAGGTCTTGGATCTGCGGGTCTTGAACCGGGCTCTTCACAAGCTCCCGTTCAAGATTCTGACGCAAAAAAACACATTTGCGTTCGCAACCAAGATTGGTTTGCAGCGATTGACTTGAAGGAGGCGTACTTTAATTTCTCGATCCTACCTCGACACAGACCGTTTCTGCGCATTGCATTCGAGGGACGGGCATATCAGTACAAGGTCCTCCACTTTGGCCTGTCCCCGTCACCCTGCATCTTCATGAAGATAGCGGACCCTACCCTTACGCCATTGAAGGAGGCGGGCATTTGCATCCTCAACTTTCTCGAGAACTGACTCATACTTGGATTGCGACCGGGTCCCGAGATGGCCATGGCACCGCGGCACACAACTAGTGGAAATTACTCTGATCTGTCAACGTACTTTCAGCCTGTAGTCGAACCTTGCTTTTCTACGGGCAGGAGTTCCCCTAGTACAAGTGTCCAGGCATGTTGTTGTCTCAACAGATGCCTCCAGCACAGGCTGGCAAGCAGCCTAGACAGAACCTCATCTGCAGTGGCATATCAATTGCCTCGAGTTGCTAACAGTACAATTTGCCCTGCGCTGGTTTCTGCCGTCGGTGCGGGCAAACATGTGCAGGTCAGAACAGACAAAACATCGACCGTTGCATACATCAACCATCAAGGTGGTCTTACGCAGAGATGGGGACTCGAGTTTGAGACTCTGACTTAAAGTCGCACACAAAGTGACTTTAGACTCGACTTGAGACTCGTCCTCGAAAGACTTCAGACTCGACTCGGACTCGAGCTGCGGGACTCGTGAACAATGTTTATTTTTAGGAAACGTCTGATGAGCTCTCTGTTATTCCCCTCCGACCGTTACCTATAACCTGCCTACGTAACATGTACTACGTATTGGCTGCGCTTGGCCACACATGAGAGGACAACGAACAAACATGTCGACTGCACCGGCCGCTGCTATGCCATTCATCGTAA